AATTCCGGCTACTCGGAAGGCTGAGGCGGAAGGATCGCCGGAACCCAGCAGGTCAAGGCTGCGGTGGCCAGGAGTGGCCACTGCACTCCAGTCTGGGCGACAGAGTGAGACTCCAACTCAAAATAATAATAATAATAATAATAATAATAAGTAAATAAATTCTTTATTTAAAGACTGGTAGCCCAAGTTAAGGATGTGTTTCTTAGGAATTTGGGAGAGTCTATGGGTTCATGATTTGGGTGTTTGTTTTTTTTTTATTTTAATCTTGCAAAGTAGTTTGTATAAGCAAACATAGGCTGTCCTCTTTTAAGTTACTATTGGAGGGTCAGCTTTTGTACTACCCAATGTATATAATTACAATGATGGAGAGTAAACACAAACATACTCACCTTAAAGTAGATAATAAGTGCACTGATTAGTACACTGATACTCTGAAATAGGTCTCCAAGGGCATGCACAAAGGCTGCTCTGACACTGGCGTTAGCTTGCACTTCCTTGTGACTGTGGCCAAGGCATCTCTGATGCAAAACCACAGTTAGTCTGAAAGAGATCAGTGTTCTTGGCACATATGAGATTGACCCTTAAAAACGTACTCAGCATGATGCAAGAGCTATCAACAGCATGCTTTATCCAAAATGGCAGGTATTGGAAATATTTGAGCTTTAAAATCTACAGTGTTGGACTAATATTTGAACACATTAGTGTCATTAAATATTAATATTTCCACACAAGGACAAACTGTGAAGATTCACCTCAGTTTTCTTATTCATCCTAATGCTACTCTGCTTGATATTAAAACTGGAAAGCATCACTTCTTAGATGAAAATTAAGTATTTGACAATGATGGGGAAATTGTATTCATTGAGGGTCTATTACCTGTCAGGCACAGAGCTAGGCTTAATATTGAGCTTTGGCGGAAGCTTAATCAAATGCAAAGGGCAGTAGAAAAGATAAGACAAAATAAGAAGTAGTAGATTTCATCAAGCTTGTTTATCATTTTCCATTTTACTTAAATTTGTTCATTTCCACACAAATTTGAGGTATAAATAATTTATTAATGCCCAATGGTGAAACTATTGTGCTCATGTATATGTGGCTATTTATCCAGAAGTAGAAATGTACTAATGCACATAAAATGTTCTTATATGTGTACATAAACATACAGAACATACTACAAAGCCTAGCACCTCTTGCCCAGGTCAAAGTGATAAGTAGTAGACGCTATACATTCCTGTATCTATTTATCTACAACTTTAAGAGCTACTAGACCAAAGGCAAAATAAGAACCTTTCACTGGCAGCCAACAAGAAGTGTTTTGCCTACAAAGATTTTGTGAAGATTTTGAAACACAGGTTTAACATATCGCTTAATCCACACATCCCAGTCTATTTGCAGGTATAGCATCTGTTGAGTCTCAGGCCATCACCACAAAAAAGAATGACTGTTGTCCACTGAGACTAGTCAATTGCAGAATGTAAAGTTTTCAGTTTCTCAGTGTTTGTGTGGAAATTCACTCTCAACCAGGAGTTAACATTCAAGGTTCTTTCGACTGCCTGATGTGACTGGCAGTGAAAAGATCTGCTAGATCTGCTTTGTGTGCTCATTTTGATGTCTTTCATTCTTCTATTAATTTTATTTTTAAAAAAATAGAAAAAAGCTTACTCTTACCTGTCAGGCATTGTTAAATGCTTGAGCCATGAATGTGAGTGAAAACAGATGTGGTCACTCCATAATACACAGACATAAATAAAAATTACTAATTACAGTAAGTCCATCAAGAACTGCTAATAAAAGATAGCACAACAGAGGAGTCTGGCTTACTTTGAGAGATGAAACAACACAGCTAACTTCTAAAGCTTATGCTAGAGTTCAACAGGCAAAGAGGGGAAAGGATGCTTCAGGCAGAAGAAATATCATGCAATAGCCTTAAAGCTCTGTCTATAACCTTAATTCTAGAATCTCTTCTATTCCTAAAACAACTTCTACTGGAACTTTCTGCCCTGATTTTAGATACCCAAGGAGTTGATTTGTTCCAAAATTGCAGTTCTGATATCTCTGTATTCAGACAACACAGCGTCTAGCAGCCCCTAAAACCTGTAATTTCAGTTCTTGAAAACAACCTTATAGTCACTCAGCATTTTTATCCGTAAATGGCTGTCCACTTGTACTGGAAAGGCAGAGCTTTTCAGTGGCCTTGCCTTTCCAAGTGTCAAAAGCACCTGCAGTGTTAAAGTCAGTGTTCAGAAGTGTTTGAAGTAAAAATAGAATTTGGATGGTACCCATTTAGAAAATCAAACCTGATCATTGAGGACCCAGATTGCCGTGGGAATTGGCCAGGTATAGCCTTCCTCTCTGTGTAGCATCAGCACAACCTATGCGACATATGATCCATGGGAAATTTATGATTTTATTCTTCTTGCTGCCTCTACGCTTGTATTCTTCTTACTGCCTCAAAGGCATTATTCTTTTAATGCAAAAATGACATCAGGGACCCCCTGTCAGCAGGATACCTGCTCAGGTGTTTTTCCTCCTAGAGGTGATAGATTCACATGGATCTGCTCACACCTTTCTTCCCAGTGCCAGTGTGAAGCCTCTTCCCAAATTAACTGTCTGGAGATGGGTACCTAGTTAGTGACAGCACATCAGGCAGCATCCTTCTTGTTGTTCGGTTCAGAGATTTCGAGCAATGGTTCACCAAGGGAGAGGTGGGTGACCGAGGTATCCATCAAGGGGTATCAAGAGGGAAGGCTACATTTCTCTGATGATTAGTGTGGCTGAGCATTTTTTCTTGTGTCTGTTGCCTGTTTGTATGTCTTCTTTTGAGAAGTGTCTGTTCATGTCCTTTGCCCACTTTTTTAACGGGATTGTCTGTGTTTTTCCTTTCAACTCATTTGAGTTCCTTGTAGGTCACTGGTCACACAAGCACAAGGGTGGGATCAGCAGTCACTGGGCCCTGCTATGGCAGGGAGGGAAGGGGCATGTGGCAACACACTGGGAACCCGGTCCACTATCACAGAGAGAGAGGATCAGTTAGAAAGCCAAACTTCACCTGCATGCAACTTACTTATGTATCATTGTGACTGCATGAAAAGCCTAGCATTCCCCAACTAGAGAATGGACCAACAGATGGAAATGAAAGTAAGAGATTAGCTAACACAGTTCCAAAATTAAAAGAGAGAAAGAGGTGGGGAGGGAGAGAAAGTTGTTAGAATGGCCTGAGGGCCTTTTTCCATGTGTGCAAGTTTAGCTCCTCCTTGTATTCCAAAATTCCTTTGTGCCCTCTCTTAAAATCCATTGTTTAAAACATCATTTTTCTATCACTCTCTTCTCTTTCATGTAAAAACCTACCTCATAGCATATATCAAGTTGCATAGCAAGATAGGGAGGTAGATAAAAGTTTCCTATTTCTGCTGTAACAGATGACCATCAAGTCCTTAGTGGCTGAATACAACACTAAGATGTATTACCTTGTTGTTCTGGAGGTCAGAAGTCTACAGTGAGTCTGTAAAACCGCATTCTTCATGGAGGCTCTAGGAGGGAGTTTGTTTTTGTATCTTTTCCACCTTCTATAAGCCACTTACATCTTTGACTCCAAGCCCCTTTCTCCATCTTCAACACCAGATGCAGTACATTTTCTCTTCTCTAATTTTTTGCCTCCCTCTTATAAGGATGCTTGTGGTTACACAGGCCCACCTGTATAATCCAGGAAACTCTCCCCATCTTAATATCCTTCCAGCACATTTGCAAACTTCCTTTTGCCGTGCAAGTTAACACGTTTAAAAGTTCCAGGTATTATAATGTTGAAATCTTTCATGGGGTGGAGGGAGTCATCATTCTGTCTGCCATACAAGAAGATGAGAGAGAGGGAGGGAGGAAGGAAAGGAAGGAAGGGGGGGGGGACATATAGATAGAAGAATGGATGGATATATAGATAGAAGATTAGAAAGAAAGAAAAAGAAAGAAAGAAAGTAAGAAAGAAAGAAAGAAAGAAAGAAAGAAAGAAGAAAGAAAGATAGATAGATAGAGTTTTAAGTGGGGTTGCCCAGAATCAGACTATCAAATGGGAAGCAGAAAACTGACCCAGAAGGATCAAAACCTTGGTCTCAAAACCCCATTTCCACAAGTATTCAAGTCATTCATTTTAGGAAAGGCAGACCAGTATGGCAGGGGATATGTGATCACCTCCTGGAATAATATTTTAAAACTGCCTGAACTAGAGAATGGACCAACAGATGGGAATGAAAGTAAGAGGTTGGCTAACACAGCTCAAGGAAGAATTTTCATGCAGTCACAATGATGCAAAAACAAAAGAAGTAAATTAGAAAGTAAGTTTCCTGTTGTGGGTTCTATTAAAATATATGAAACTGGTAACCGTTTTATGTGGATGTTGCAAAAGATAATTCAAAAGTAGAAGGGAGTCTGAAATATCTAAACTTTAAGGTCCCTTCCAACCCAACTGCGAGAAAACCCATAATCTGCCCACCTAACAAAAATGACAGGAGTGAGCCCTATTCCATGTGAAACCGTCAACATGCAGGAGACAGCAGCAGGACTAGGAGCTCAATTCTGGGTCTAGATTCAAATCCTGGCTCTGTGCAACTTAATTGGCAATGTCTTTAACCTCACTAAGCTTCAGTTTCCTCACCTGTAAAGTAGGGGGTAGTGAACATTAAACCTGACAATGCATATCAAAACATCCTAGCCCAGTCTTTGGCACATCTGAAACTTTCTATTAATGGTAGCTAGTGGGAGCAAATAATAAAGCTCCCTTCAGCTTAAACTGAAGCAACAACTTCATTTTCAGTCTTGGAGCCACCCAAAAATGTTGTCGGGACTCCACCATTTTCCCAAGTGGAAGAGTTTTTTTTTTAAGCTCTTGTCCAGACAAGGTTAAAGACAAAACTCGTGGACACCAAGCAGAGGTGACTTACATGACATTGGCTGCCACCGCACAGCCCGAGATGATGGTCATCATGGTGGCCTGGATCTGGTAATCGGGATGCAGCAGGCGCTCCCAGGCAAGGTACACCAGCACACCGGTCACTGCCCAGATGCACAGTGTGGACAGCAGGGCCCCGAGGACCTCTAGGGGGTTAAAGGCACACAGACAGCTCATCACCTGCATGCTGAGAGTCCTGAGACTTTTTGTCCCCTCCCAATAAAGAGGCTTCACACTAGTTCACTCAGTGATTCACCAAGTAAGAGTGGGGACAGATTTTAAAACTAAGGTAAGGAGCTTTAATGTTGGATTCATAAACACCAATGTCTTTGTTCATTATGCTCCATATTACTAAGGAGTATCTAGCAAATTTTTAGAACATATTAATTACTGTCTGCCCTTACTGTTTTTCTTGGGGCTTTTAATTTAAACAGGTGCTAAAATGGTTGAAATTTTTCAGGAGATGAAATGAGACACAAAGAATAAAATGTGTTTAGAAATTCTTAATTTTGTTATAAAGCATTTACAACTTGCTAGAAAGGGCACCATCAGTGGAAAGGAATTATCAAAAAGGAAAGCTTCAGAGAGTGCTTGATGAAAGGAGTTTTATTTGCCCACCCCACATGAAAACACAGAGATGAGCTCAGAGGTTTATCAACACTCCAGCTACATTTTAAGAGCTACGGGGGGGGGGGGATGGGGAAAGCACCAGAATGGGGACATTTACATTAATATTTAAAGATAAGATAGTGCTGATCTGTCCACGGAGAAAAGGACATTCACTCAAGTAGAAGTTCTCTGCTCTCCACTGACCCTTCACTCAACCTGGGATATAGATTCTAAAACCCACAATGGCCTAGAAACATTCTGTGAGTTCATGGTTAGCACATCCCAGAATTGTCCTTCCCCAGATATTAGTTTCCTTCAAGGCAGAGTAATGTAATGTCTTATTACCCAATGTGTGCAATTATTTTCCAGACACTAGTCATCAGCAGACAACCTTGTCCAATCCATATGCTAACTGTCTTATTAGCCACTTAATCTTTTCTTCAAATAAATTCATTTTTTTTTTTGAGTCGGAGTCTCACTTTGCTGCCCAGACTGGAGTACTGTGGCACACTCATGACCACTGCAGGCTTGACCTGCTGGGCTCAAGCAATCCTTCCACCTCAGCCCTCCAAGTAGTTGGAGCTACAGGTGTGCACCACCATCCCTGGCTAATTTTTTATTTTTTATTTTTGTAGAGACAAGGTATCATCAAGTTCCCCAGACTGGTCTTGAACCTATGGGCTCAGGCAGTCTTCTCACCTCGGTATCCCAAAATGCTAATATTACAGGCATGAGCCATGGCACCCGACCTCAAATAAACTTACTTTTTAGATTCAGCTTCTTCCTAAACAATATTATCCATGAAGCTGCATATTTCATGTGCTTGTTTATTTTTTAATTCATATGAGGATGTGTAATGATTGTCCATGTGACACAGAAAACGTCTGCCTAACGGCTCCCCTTTTCACACTACGGGCAATTTGGTGTGGATGTTTAGAGCATGTGTTCAAGTATTTGCCAGTGATTGTCTATGTGACATAACCTGAGTTTCCTTATCTATAAAGTATATATTTTAGTAATAGAATATATATAATATGCTATGGGTTCAACTCTGTCTCCCCAAAATTTATAAGTTGAGGTACTAATCTTCAGTACCTCATATTGTGACCTTATTTGGAAATAGGGTCATTGCAGATGAAGTTAGTAAAGTTTCAATGAGGTCATAGTTGAGTAGGGTAGGTCCATAATCCAATATGTATGGTGGGTGTCCTTATCCTTATTATATTACTCTTCACCTTTAGCTCCACTCATCTAAAGGGGAAGTCTGGACCCAGACATTTATACGGGGAAAATGTCCCATAAAGATTAATGTGGAGAGCTATAAGTCAAGGAACCACAATTGTCAGAACTGCCAGGAGCCAGGAGACAGACCTGGAACAGATTCTCCTGCAGATACCCCAGAAAAGATCAACCCTGCTGGCACCTTGATCTGAGACTTCTACTTTTCGGAACTGAGACAATACATTTCTGTTGTTTAAATCATCCGTGTGTAGTATGTTATTAAGACAGACTTAGGAAACTAATACAACAAACAGCAAACACTCAAGAGTCATTATTTTATCAGCCTACTCAGACTATCTAAAACTCTTCTTTGCAGAAGTTTATGAATACTTGACCCAGGAATTTCTGGTTAACCAGAAAGAGAGTGAGTTTGTAGTTATCATGTACTTCCTACCCATGAAAACCCAACTTAGAGTATAAAAGTGGAGTGTGTCCAACTCTAAACCCATTATTAAAGAGCTTTGGTGAGGCAGGAGCTGGGAAAATAAAGCCCAAATACCACAGGCAAGAGTCAGGAATCGAATCTAAAAGTGGGGCAAAGCAAAGGGTCTGACATCCAAAAGTAACTAGTTAGAACAAGAATCACATGGGGATCATCGACAAGTGCTAACATGATTGCTAAGAAAACTGTTAGGCTAGCAGGTGGAGTCAGGCTGACCGGACCAGCCCATGGATATGTTGGACTCACTCCGTGTCTATAGAGAATGCTTAATACAGCAGACACCAATCACGTGTGGCTATTTAAATTGAAAATATGCAAAATGAAGACTCTGGTTCTTCAGTAGCACTAGCTACATTTAAAGTGCTCAGTAGCTCCATTATACTATAAATGACAGAGTAGTTCCCTTGTAGCAGAGAGTTCTGTTGAACTACTCGTGGATGCCAGGGCCATGATGTGAAGTACAGCTGTCCCTTTTATTTTATTTTTATTTTTATCTCTTTGTAGAGGTGGTCTTTCTATTGTACCCAGGCTTGTCTCAAACTCCTGACCTCACACTATCTTCCTGCCTGAACCTCCAAAAGTGCTGGGATTACGGGGGTGAGCCACATGCCTGGTCAAGTGTCCTTATTTAAATTTCAAGTTCACTCTATGTTTACAAACCATCCTACAATTACAAAACAGCTTTGACTAGCTGCATCAGAAAGGTTTGAGTACATGTAAGACTTTATCCAGACAAATGCTAGGGGTTCAGTCAGGGGTATGTGTTTTCCAAAGGCAGTCTGTTTAGCAACTGGCAAAAGCATTCTCAGGTCACATTGGCACCAACTCTTTATTTGTTTCATCTTTCTCTGAGTGTTAAAGGACAGCAAGTCAAAACACCTGTGCTGGTCAATTTAGTATGAAATTGGAACTTCCTACCATTCAAAACTTGAAAGACCACATACCCCAGTTGTCAGTCTGCAAGATGTGGTCGCATCCAATAGTCCCTTCAGTGAGGGCTGGCCCCATTGACCCCCTGCTCTGCCCTCCCAACTCCTTTATGTTGATTTTTTCACCCAGTGAAATGCAGAATTGAGACTGACTATTCACATGATTTGTACAAAACATTCAGCCAAACACTCCTCCCTCCTCCAACTGATGTCAGAATTAGCAGAGTAGCAGAGTTGTTATCGCAGGGTGTGTGTGTGTGTGTGTGTGTGTGTGTGTGTGTGTGTGTGTGTGTGTGTGTGTTTAGGGGGGATGAATTGTAAAAGTAAAAAACGTCCCAAAGACTAATAGACTAAACCCTTACCCTGACCTGGGCCACTTCCTGGACAAAAGCAAGCTGTTTCTCCAAGAAATAATCAGCTCCAAGAAAGGAGTAAAATTCCATCTCCTCTTCTTCCTCCTCTTCTGCTTTGCTGTTATTGCTAATTGATTGGGCAAGATCTTCAGCAGAGCCATCTGCAGAAGGCCTAAGTGCCAAGTGTGAGCAGGAAAGTCTTCCCCATGTCTCCTGGGAGAAGCTCCTCAGTCCCTGCAACTCTCCTGGGCCCTGTGTGCTTTATTTTGCAGCATGGTGGGAGCTTTATCCCATCCCCTCTTTTAGAGAAGCAGAATAATTTCATGAATAACATCACGGCTGTCACCATGCACAGGGACCCTGGGGAAGAGTGGATGCTGATGTGATACACATGCTGCTGTCACCCCAGGGGGAGAATAGGAAGCACTATAAACCTGTCCACTAACTGAATTCCACTGCACACATACACAAGTCTTCACACACACATCTGTCACATCCTGAGCCCCAGAGCTGTGTCTCTGAGGGGCATTCAAGCAAGACTCAGCTTTGTGCCCCATTTTCACCCTTGGCTTGACTTTGCAGCACTACCCTGATGTTACTGCTCAGTTGGTGAACTGTACCTGCTCGGTGCCACCCAAATGTCAGCTGCTTGGAGGGGGGCTTCGATGACAGCCACAGGGAGAAGAGACTGAGCAGGAAACTGGTCAGGTCAATCAGGAGGTGGGCAGCATCTGTGACGACAGCAAGACTCCCGGCTACGTGCCCACCTGAGGGTGCAAAATAGCACACTGGGTTAAGGCCCCCAAGTGCAAGCAGACTCATCAGTATGCTACCCACAGCTGAGGAAAGTGTCACAGCTTTAGGAGTTTTAGAACTTTAGGACAGAATGGGATCTTAAGGTTGACTTGACCCATCTCTTCTGAGATTCAGAGAGTAGATAGGATTTGATCACAAGGAAATAAATTTTGAGGGCGAGGTCATTCCTGGGGAGAACAGGTACAGAGATTGACAAAATGAGGGGTACATCTGAGGAGCACCCCAGTTAGACAAGGGAACAGGGGGTTCAGAAAAGGGGAGTACAAGAAGGTCAAGTCGGAAAGGTGTAGGTCAGATTCCAAGCATCTCACCATTCCCACAGGAGACCTGGACTAGAGCTTAGAAATCAGATGCTCTTGATTCAAGAAAAGATGGCAGAGCAGCCAGTCGGATTGTGTGAGTCCCTGTGTGAATCGATGAGTAGATGGACAAATTTGCATGCATGTCTGTGTGTAAGTGGGCGTGTGAGTGGCTGACTGAGTGGGAACTTGGGAGCAAGCGGCCAGGGCTTTCCTGGTGAAGCGTCTGGTACCAGCAGCTACTCGTCTTGGACCTTAGTGCCTCCCAGGGTGCATAAGCTGAGTGCCATTTTTTAAAATTAACAAAGCTTTTCCTGGAGAGAAGCTGCTAGGAGCAATTGTCATTGCCAGACTGCCCAACTACTGCAGCACCAGGCTGGACACTGGCAGTGAGGGCTGCAGAGGGAGAGCAGCAAGGGATCCAGGGGCAGAGTTCCACTGGAAAAGATGAAGCAGGCATCCTGCCACCATCTCAAAAACCAGGCAGGGAAGTGTTCCAGCTTGCTTACCATGGAACAACAGACTCACTCTCTGTGACCATCAGGTTAACTACTCAGGAGTTGATCATGACCCAGATAGAATATCTTGAAAGCACAAACTTCAGAAGGACAGGATGAGTGCCGAGTCACAGGCACCCCATCCCCTACCCTGATCCAGCTTCAGGTCAAAGGGTGCAACCAGAAAAGGACAAGGAAGATCCCTCACAAGAGATCAGCAGGGAGTCCTGAGCTGACTCAGTCCCCTTTTTCCTAATAATCCTCTGAATGTCAGACCCACACGGCTGGGGCACAACTGAAAGGGACAAATCCAGGTGGAGTCTGGACAGCAGTCATGCTAGGAAAACTCTCCTCTGAGATAAGCCTGGCTGGGGCACCTGCTGCTAGCAACTGGGGAGGAGATAATCTCACACCTCTCCACCAGATTCCCTTGATCTATAAGAACAGAAGGGGAAGACTGATACCCCACTCACCTCCTCCCACCCTGGGCTGCCCACCAGGGACATTGTGAATGATTATGCAGTCCCACAGGAGATGGCAGGCAGGCTTACCTGTGAGCAGCTGAGAGGAATAATTACAGAAACCGCCCTAAGAGGGTGATTAATGCCTAGAAATTCTTTTTTAATTATTTTTTTCTTTTTTGTACTTCTTTTGTTTTGGTTTAGTGTGTGTGTGTGTGTGTGTGTGTGTGTGTGTGTCAGGGTTCAATTTGCATCCCACTATTTCTTCTTGTTCTTCTTTTGCTTTGTTTAGTGTATGTGTGAATATGTGTGTGAGGGTTCAATTTGCATCCCCCCTTATTTTTTCTTCTTCTTCTTTCATTTTGTGTGTGTGTGTTCAGTTTTCCTGTTTATTGTTTTATTTTGTGTGTGTGTTTTCTTTTCTGTTTGTTTTGGGTTTTGTTTGTTGTCTTGTTTTCCTTTTGTCTTTTGTCTTTTGGTTTTTGTTCTTGCTTTTACTTTCATTTTTTTGTGTGTGTGTGGCTTATTTTATTTTTTATTATTTTTGTCCTTTCTGCTTCATTCTACTTTTCTCTGTGCTCCTCATTACTGTTACTTTATCTTGGACTCAGGGGGTTCACACATGTACCCAACTGTTTCATCTTATAGCGTGGTGGTGGGGAGTGGGTCTCAAGAGGCCCAAACCCCAGTCAATTAACATTGTAACTTGCAAATAGTTTCTGAACACTAGCTCCCCACCCTCTACCTTATTTGACTTTCAAAACTACAAGAAACAGCAAAACTTTCCACTCTCAGTCCTGTTTTAAAACAGAACAAATTTGGAGGCACTGATCAGAGCAGAATAGAATGTTGAGCAAACAACCAAAGTGAAAGCACCACCCACTACCACTGAATAATGTAATTAAAGAGAAAAGAAAAAGATCCATCACAAGTGAGTTAAGATCAGTGGAAGAACACAGGTAATTCCCAGTGTACCAAAGAGACAATGCCTGAAAAAAATCAGACCTTAGAGTCCAAACAATGGAAATCACCAATGATTGGCCCCAAATACCACAGGGATTAGGGAATGGATGGAAAGAGTGAATAAAACTCAAGAAAGACAGGATGCAACAATGAAAGATCTTGTAACAGAGATTTTGGTCATTAAAAACTTCATCCATGAAATAAATAACAATATGACAAGCATGGGAAGCAAAATCAACCAAGCAGAAGAAAGAATCTCAGAACTTGAGGAACAAAATATGGAATTAACCTGATCTGTTAAAAACAAAAAGAAAACTCAGAAAAAAGAACAGAGCCTCCAAGAGATGTGTGATTATATCAAGAGGCTGAACCTATGCTTGATTGGTATCCTAGAAGAAGAAAAGGAAATGGAGAACACCTTTGAACAAGTGTTCCAGGAAGTTATCCAAGAAATCTTTCTCCATCTCTCCAGAGCTGTGACCATCCAAACACAAGAGATTCAGAGAACCTCTGCAAGATATCAAATGAGAAGACTAACTCCTAGACACATAGTATTTCACTTACACAAAATAGGTATCAAAGAAAAAATCCAAAAGGCAGAGAGAAAGAAAGGTCACACTCCCTACTGGGGAAGACCAATCAGAATAGCAAAAGACTTCTCAGCAGAAACACTACAAGCTAGAAGGAACTGGATTCCAATTTTCAAAGTCTTCAAAGATTCATAATTTCAACCAAGAATTTCTTACCCAGTCAAGCTCAGCTTCAACAGTTATGGAGAATTAAAATCCTTCCCAGACATTCAACCCTAAAAGAATATGTTTCCAGACCAGCTCTATAGGAGATGCTCAAGAAGGTATTAAGCATAGAAGAAAAAAAAATAAGGAAGAACAACCATGCATTTCCCAAGAATTCAAGAAAAAAAAAATCAACACACCTAGCAACTACAAAATGGCTATATACACATATATCAACCCCAAAACTAAAAGAAAACAAAACAGCCTTATAAGAGCCTCATGACAGAGATAAACGTTCACATTTCAATAATCAGCCTGACCATCAGTGGATTAAATGCACCACTGAAAAAACATGGAATGACAAACTGGTGCCCCACATCTTCAAAATAAAAAAAAATTTTTTTTAAAGAATGGCAAACTGGATTTTAAAAAATATGACCCAACAATACGCTGCCCCCAGGAAACACATCTCACTACAAAGGTCACCCCCAAACTCAAAGCTAAAGGGTAGGAAACAAAACTTCAGGTGAATGGAAAACAAAAGAGTGCAGGAGACATGACTTTAATATCAGACAAAACAACTTCCAAGTCATCAAAAATTTAAAAAGATATAGAAGAGTACTACATAATGATAAAAGGTTCAATCTATCAACAAGGAATATACAATCTAAATATGTATTCACCCAATACAGGAGCACTTGTATTTACAAAACAATGACTAAGTAAACTAAAAAAGGATATTGACTCTAACACCACCCTACTGGGGACTTAAATACCACACTAACAACCCTAGATAGATCATCAAGGCAAAACATCAATAAGGTGATCTGGAACCTTAACTTGATGCTTGAACAAATGAACTTAATAGATACCTACAGAATACTTCACCCAATAATTATGAAATATACATTCAACTTATCACCACATGGAACATACTCCAAGATCAACCACACCTTCTGCCACAAACCAAGCATAAACAAATTCCATAAGATTGAAATACTACCATGTACCTTCTCAGATCACAACTAAATAAAAATAAATATTGCCAACAAAATTTCCCCCAAACACACAAAGACATGGACACTAAACAGTGCGATGCTGAACAACTCCTGGACCAACACAGAAATCAAAACAGAATGAAAAGATTCTTCATTAACAAATGAAAATAAAGACACATTTTACCAAAACCTTTGGGATGCCATGAAAGTAGTTATATAAGGGGAATTTATATCTCTATGAATACACATCAACAAAATAGAAAGATCACAAGTCAACAGTCTAACAAATCATCCAAGGGAACTGGAAAGGCAAGACCATCAAAACCCTAACTTCAGCAGAAGAATCCAGATAATCAAAATAAAAACCCCCAAATGGGACATAGATTAAAAAAAATCTTAGAAAAAATCAATGAAACAAAACCCTGGTTCTTTGAAAGAAAACAAGAATGGCGCACCCCTAGCCAGATTGAAGAAGAACAAAGAGACAAAAAGTCCAAATAAACACAATGAGAAATGCAAAATATGAAGTCATAACTGACCACTAAGAAATACAAAAGATTATCAGAGATTACTATCCACACTTGTATGAAAACACACTTGAAAACTTAAATGAAATGGAGGAGTTTCTGACATCACACAACCTCCCAAGGTTGAAACAAGAGGAAACAGAGACCCTAAATGGACCAATAGCAACACAGGAAGTTGACTCCATCATAAGAAAACTACCTACAAAAAAAAGCCCTGGACCAGACGAGTTTCCAGTGGAATGCTACCAATCCTATTGAAAGGAGTTCTACCAATCCTGTTGAAAGGAGTTGATACCAATCCTATTGAAATTATTCCAGACAATCAAGAAAGACAGAACTCTCCCCAAATCATTTTACGAAGTTAACATCACACTGATACCCAAACTGGGCAAAGACCCAACAAAGAAAAAGAACTACAGGCCCTAATGAACATAGATGCAAAAATTCTCAACGAGATTCCAGCAAATTGAAT